TTAGGTCTTTGAATTATTCCAGACCATTTATGTCTCAAGATTCATTAAACTGTCATAATTGGTATTTGAGATATTGGTGTGCAAGCCAAAATTTGGCTTATTAGTATGCAAATTAGATAAGTAATATGCACAGATTTTAACCCAAAACTAATCTGGTCTGTGCATTGTACCAGACCACCAAGTTTCATTGAAATCAAAGATTGGTTCTTGAGATAATGGGGGAACAGACATCTACATACACACACACACACACACACACACACACACACACAGGGTAACCATAAATACTCCCATTGTGTGCTTCACACATGAGAGTTAATCTTTCCATGGTAACTATACCCATAGTTCTTCATTGTATCAAGGGTAACCCCTCCTGAAAAATCCATCAATAAATTTGAGTTACCCTGCTTATAGGCAAACCAACAAACTGAACAGGAAAACATAACCTCTTTTGCAGAGGGTAATAAAACAACTATAAAAATCACTACCAAGTACAAAAATGTTTTGAACTAGCAACTTGTATAGGATTTTTTTTTATTTGACGGCTGGCAGCTGACAGTCCAACACTCAGTGTCACTGTTGTCATTCCTGACTTTTCACTGTAATACGATTTTTAATGAATCCAATTTGGTAAATTATGAATAATTTGATCCAGACATTATTAATTTCATTAAAAACATTCTACTTGTTATCAGAAAAGTTGACTTCAATGAAAAACATCAAATTTTTCCTTCTAATACAGACTTTAAATGCTATATTCAAATGACAAATTTGTAACAACATAACAAATAGTTCTTGTTTTCACTCAATTCCGGTCAAAATGTGACTTGCATTTATATTGACCCAAAGTATGAGAGACAAATTTTTAAAAATTTTCAAAATGAAAAAAATCCAAAAAATTTGATAAATGCCATAATTTTCCCAGCACTTGTTCCTGTATTTTTTATAAAATTTTTTATGTGTATTTTAGACTAAATTACATGTATTTCCTTGAAAGCTACATGCATGTCTTTCAGAAAATTTATTAAAAAATTATGCATTTATTTTTTGGATGAAAAGTAACAAAAGTATAAATGGTTAATTTAGACAGGAACTTTTGTCTTAAATTATCAAATCGCAAAAAATTAATAATTGGCAGCATTTTGTGGTACAGGTAAATAAAATACAATTTTGTGACTCTGATTATGGAAAAAAAGCATATGCATAAATCTACAGTTTCACTGTATCTTGCATAAAAAAATAACCCTTTCTCTATCACAGATGCAAATCTGCTGAATTGCCGGATGCGTGAATTCAAACTTTCATTTAAATCAGGTATTGCAGTTGAACATATCTTAGCTCACAACAATCCAATCCACAGATTAATGTTCATCTCCAAGTAAGCATGCTCTGTGATGTATAAATAACGCAGAGGCACGTACCTGGTATTGGACGTAAATTAGGAACCCAACAATCTAAATGTCAACCATAATCACATAGTCAGTGTATCCGAACAAAAGTGTTTTTCACTGTCTATCTTAAGCCATAACATTTGCAGACAGTCGGAGAGCAGTAAATGGAATGAAAAACACAGGCCACTGAGCTCAGCAGGCAAACAGTAAGACTACCTAGGCATATTCTTTTATGTTGCTTAGAACCCCTAGCTACAGAAAAAATTCAGGTGACACCAAACGAAAATGATCATTGAAAGATAGTGGAATATATATATATACTTAAATATTGTTTATGAATTGAAAATGTATAGACATGCTATGCAATACTACAGCTATTATATTTTTTGAATCTACTTGTAACCCATTTCTTTGAATACAAAATGCAATAGTAGATCTTAAAATACAGCATGAAAACATCCACCTTAAACTTCATATTCAAAATATACTGTAAATTATTGCCACTTTGGTGATTAGCTTTGTTTGTATCATTTTGAAAAGCTTCTTGCTTGATTTGTTTTATTTTTACTAAACTGCAATATCATCTATTTTGGAAAATCCAAGGGCTTGAACTTTGGTATTCTAAGGGCACCAAGTATCCAAGACAAAAATGCCTTGGACTAATGAAGGGTTAAAGAGCATCGTGGGTGGCATCTTGGCAATTGCCTCCATGAAATTGAGCCTTAAAAACCAATTGTAAAATTACTATTTAGTGAATTATACTCAACACTAGTAAAAGGTCATTAATATTGGAAGTCTGATAATTTCACTTTGTCTAAATTGATAGTAGGGCTTCAGTAATTTAGCAGAAAAATAAAATTGTGAATGAGTCAATTATTTTTTCCACTAAAATTAAAAATATTATTGCATATACTTTGATGTACCATGGAAAATTGATATTGGCTCTTATACATTATAAATAATTATAATTATAAATAAATTACTTTTCCAAAAATTAACTGTTTCTAAAATTAGTTTAAATGCTGTTCAAGTATATTACACCATCACTAATTCTTTCACTTTCCCGTAATCATGCCCTCTAGTGGCATATATCGTTTTAATCTGCATATTAGTCCATCAATGATGATTATGTTTTTGAGAGATTTTACGATATTTTAGATGACAAGCGACTACACAACCTTTTCCCATACTCTCCAGGTATTTTTACCACCTAGCAACCACAAACACGGTCGAAAACTGTACTTTGGGATAGCTGTTGAGATTTTCCTGTACAGTATCCTCGGGAGCGGACATCCGGGCATTTTTACCGCCTGGCAACCTGCGGAGGTGAAAACAAAGGCCCAAAACTCGCAGAAAATGGTACTTTGGGATGATTGTTAAGACTCCTCTGAACAGTATAACAAGATTAGCCCTACGTGTGTAACATATATAAATTTGGTTGTTCAGGATTACTTCAAAGTTGAGTTTGTGTTGTTTTCTCGAATTTTCACCAGCTCGACCGGCGTTCCACAGCAGCGCGCACAGAGCCCATAAAAATGCAAGTACAGTGGTGCGCATCGTAGCAACGTGGATCGTCTTGTGACGTAGCTCCGCCCCTGAGAATAACCATATTACCCCTACATGTGTTGCATATATTAATTTCATTATTCAGAATTGTCTCATAGTTGAGTTTATGCTGTTTTTACCAGCTTTTTCACTGATATTCCACAGAAGCTCTCACAATACATTGTAGTGGTATGCATGTTAGCAACATAGATCATTCTGTGATGTAACTCCATCCCCAAGAATAATCCATTTTGATAACACAGAAGCACTGTCACTAGAGGGCGCAATTTATAAAGTATTCACAGCCTCTTTACTTTACAAAGATTACCGTAGTCACATTTGGTGACAGTGTGTTCATTGCACACACAATGTTTTTTTTTGTACTTTGGCTATGTGTTAATTTGTTATTGCTCATCCATTTAAGTCATGTGCTCTTTTTAATATATTAAGTCAATCAATTATTATAATCATTATTATAGTGAATTAAAATCTCTTTCCAATCATGGATTCCAAGTGATAATTAGGGATACCTGGAGATGCTGGTGAAGTTATCACTACATTCTTAAGATAGCAATACATGTAAATATTTGTCTATATTAAAACTAACAAAATATTCAAATATTTATTTGTTGCGAGACTTATTAAACACTGAACAAATTTTAATTCACACATGTGAACGTGTTTCATTAAACAAAAATTAATGGATACTCAACACTAGAGGGCAGTATATACTTTACAGAATGTAATCGATATGAACACTAGAGGGCACACATAGAAAATGTGGTTCCTTTGTGTTTAACTGTCGCATGCATCAAGAATAATCAATGTTTGAGAGATATTCCTGAGAAGAGTGAATTGTTATGACTACAGACAGTGACTAAGGCCTAAAGCTGGGATTATACACATAGTATATTACTATGGCAACAAATACACAAGTCATACAAATGAATCTGTATATGAGAAATTGAAAACCATTTTACTAAGCCCGTGGGGAAGATAAGAAACAGAAACATGAGTCATATTAATGGTTTGATATATCAAGTAAGCCAAAATCCAGTTATGAATAATTTGCTTAGATGCAAGACTACAGTAAGTTTGAAAACAAGTCTAGAAAAATTGTGGCTACTGTATTGAAGACACTATCAACGCTGAAATACTGGATATAATACAATCTATTTATCACATTAGAAGTAGAATTTCCTGTGTCACTGTCCTTCTACTCACAGTTCTATCAGCATGTATATGAGCCTTTTTTTAAGTAAACAGTATATGAACAACAAAGATGTTTGTCTGATACATTTTGTAGTTCTAATTTTGGAAACCATATTGCATAGTATGAAATTCACGCAAGCCATGGAGGTCAATACTAAGCTGACCTATCTGAATGCCGTACTGACCTTCAATATTTTCTTTAAAATTTTAATACGTTCAAACAATTTTGAGAAATTTGGTGTTTGAAATTGAACATTCTGAGTAATTTGAAGCTCAAGGCCTAATAATGCGGAAAGGAAAAGCCATTTTCTTCATACATGTACATAACTATAATATCGATAACTATCAATAGTAAAACAAAACGAAGCTAGTTTTAATGATTAGATCATAGTTTTCCATGACAACACTGCAGTGAACATAAAAGATGTGAGACTATAGCAAATGAAAACCCCACCACTTCAGTACAATATTAGTACACAATTGTGGATACACTGATATTGCAGAAGTGAATTTACCGGGTATATTGCAAATTACAGACACTATGCAGTCACATATGATTTAACAGTTCCACCCACCAATACATAAGCAGCTCATCGCCAATCATTGTGCAGCGAGCATTCAAATTCTGATTAAACATTGTATTTCACAATTTTGAAGCTCACATGTTAAAACATCATGATGCAATGACAACCATATTTGTCAAAAACACCACCAAGTGACAATTATGATTTTAATAGGGGATATCCCTTACAAGTTTTGATATGACTAAATGCAAATCCACTTAAATTAACTCACTGTGGATCAGAGTTCTAACAATCACTCTTCAATTGATTGTTTGGTAATAAAACTCACCTCATGCAGTTTCTTTTCTAGATGTTCCACCGCTTTTTTCCCAGTCAGCACACCCTGCTCATGTGCGTCTGGTCTCCTCAGTACATTGCTTTCAAATTCTTGAAATTTTTGAAATTGGTCACGTTTTGTCACCTCGCCCAGATGAGACTGGATAAATCGTTGTTTCTGGTACTTGCCAATCTTACCCTCCCGTGGAACATATCCAGGTTCGTTTACTTTTGACTTAGGCTGAGTTCTCATGCCGGGGACAGGCAACATTACTTCAGGCAGCATTAACTCCTCGATATACACATTGTCAGATTTGTACGACAAACCCGAACCAGGTCTCAAATCTGTCACTTCCTCCTGCGCTCGTTTCATCAGTCTTGGTGATGGCGGTGGGACAAACATGCTAGGAGAAGGGCTTGCACGTGGACTAGGGCTGCGGTGTGCTTTCTGCACTCGTCCATCCACAGGGGGAAGGGCAATACTTCCGGTGGTGCCCATGCTGAAATTGTACATGGTACCTGTCATTTTATTGTTACCTTCCATATCACGTTGAGGTTTGGGAATTTTAGATGGTTCTCTCATAACTGGGATGGGTTTGTTGGCACTTTCCCATGAAACATGCGTAGATTTAGTCGGGTGTTTCCACAGTTTGTCATGGTTTAGATGGCCTGAACTGTATGCTTTAATATCCTTGCGTTGTTCATTAACAAGCGCATCAAGCAGGTCACCAAGACGACGCTCGGAGACTGGTAATCTATCCGACATTTTGCCTTTCAAGTTAGTCTAGATCCGTGATGTGTTAAACTGACCTGAAATGAGAAATAGAATAAAGATATTAGAAAGTCTTGCAATGAATGATGCAACATATGCTGCAAATGCATGAATACTCACTGAAAAAGAAAGCAGAAATAGTGAAGTCATATAATATCAACTAGTTTCACTAACGCTAAAAATACCTTTGCGCCACTGCGCAGTAAAAAGAACTGGCAAACCACTCACAATTCTAAAATCACCACCATATATAAAAAGTGTTCACAATTCAATTATTCCTTCAAGTTATACTAGAAAATTATTTTTTAAGCTACTGAATAATGCATAAACTTTGAGGTATGCTGATAAGCATAACTGACACACTCAACATCTTATCAAATAAAATTAAATATTTACGTTGTATGAGTTCAGTGTGGGTGTGTGGGTGAAACATGAAAACATGTCCAAATCAATATTTATGCTGCACCTTTGAAACAAACAAATGTAATACATGCCTGCTAATGATCTTAAATAGAGGTGATAAATCGATAACAATTTATCATTTAAAAAATGGCACATGATTATTGCTTCAGACACAACATTTCTATTTTATGTAAAAATGCCTAAAAAAAAGCTAAAAAAAGAAACATTTGGAAACGTCTTGCCAATACTGCGATAGGTCAAGCTGAAAATTTTTATTTTGCATGCATACTGATTGTTTTGGTCACTACACGTGAGTGTTTATAATACATCAACATGATGTACATGTATATTTAAAAAAAAAATTATTGACTGCAAAATGACTAATTTTCACTGGGTTTAAATTTCACTGATTTACCATTTCAGGCATATTCAGTTGGTTTTAAATTCATGGTTATTTTCATTAAGACAATGTGTTCTATGCTAAATTTTACGTATTCACTGGGTTTTAATTTAGCGCATTTTCCAGTCAGCGAAATAAGCTATAAAATTAAAATCCAGTGAATAATTACCCCCTTTACAGCATGCCTATATTATATCTTTAAATTTACAAGCCCAAGAACACAAAACAAATGGCTGAAAACAATTGACAAAATAATCCACAAGAACAAAACAAAAACAACAGACAAGTACACTACATATATTTAACCACAATTATTTTGTTTGTTCTTTTGTGCATGTATGATGTAATACAATTGTAATATTTCAAAAAAAGTAACGAACAAACAGGATAGCTTTAAAAAATTACGACTTGCTGTCATAAATCTGATGGTTACATGTAATTTTCATGGATAAGCAGGCAAGAGATAAACTAATTCCAATAAGATTTGTTCTTGGCACTCAGACGAAATAACTCTATTACACAAACAATAAGCTCTACAGAAAAGCACAATCCTTCATAACCAGAAACAAACTCGTAGCTAGCGGTAGAATCAGCAAAACATACTGTCAAATTTATTGTTGCTTTTGGAATCAAAATCTATACATGAATTTTCAATCAATTTTAATAATTCACTGACATCACTCTCATTGTATGTTAAAATTAATAATTATTATAAGTCTGGATGAAGGTTATGATAAGAGAAGTAATCCCCTTAATGCTTAACACTATAAACCACAAGATATTGTCGTGACTATTTGAAGGCATTGACGCAAACTAGTCACTAAAACGTTTTCTAAGATTGTCATGTTTCGCTAACAATTAAATTGACAGGATGCAGTAATCTGTACGGTTTTAATTAATTCATGAAAGACGACTCGCCAGTCATGGATAATTGCGAAATGTTGAAGTGCATAGAAACATGTCCCTTGTCACCTTTAGACAGTGTATATATAGTTTAGCATATCTCAAGTAGACAGAATAGTTGCAGCATAAAAGGGGAACCACTCAATCCCATGGATTGCACCACGTGCAATGAATGCTCATTATTATTATGCTTATTAAATGAATGCTTATTATGCTCGCTTACTCAAACTGTGATTGACAGACCTTTTGCATACATTAGCCGTCATTTTAAACTCAGTATTTTTCGGCCGAAAACAACTACATGTATACATTAAAAGCCCAACCATATGAGTGTAATCGCTAGCGTACATATTCATGCCCCCTTAGAAATGTATTTGGAATCACAGCTTGATCTCAAAACATCGTAAATAGCACATTTCTCGGAGCTCACGCCAAGATGTGAGCGGCTTGGATCGGATTAGCATACTAATTGCAGTAGCCATCTTGCCCCTATTTATAGTATCGGTTCCCCTTTAAGTTAATTCTTTCTCACATGTAACTCCATGGTTGCAGACAGTGTGCCCTCTAACATGCAGTGATCCTGAGATAAATGGAATCTCTTAAAATTAAGTTGAGTCAGCATGTTGACTGCTAGAGAGGTTGGTCTTCAAATAAAAAAAATGTTTGTGACTGTATAGGTAACTTGCAGCACAAACAAAAATTGGTAGCTCCTGATTACCTTTGTTTTCAAACTTATTTTGTCTAGAAAATATGAATTTCATTTCACCAAATTACAATTCCATAGCTATCTATAGTAAGATGTTTTTCATGATCATGATATGTATGATTTTCTGTTGTGTCAACGACATGCCAGTGAATCAGACTAGTTGCATTACAGGAAATTTGCACATGTCAATTGCAAGTCAGAGGGCACATGGGTTGCAGAAAATTCTGTAAGGACTAAACCAAAGCAGATATCTGATTGAAAGAATGTTGGCAGTGGGTATTTTTATAACAACATAAAAATAAACTGGTAATGGGAAAACTGAACATCTATAGTAGTTTTTTTCTATAAATGTTTTTTTTTTTATTTTGTCACCATATTAACACATTATCGTGCACACAAATTTGAATGTATATGTTATGCGTAAAATTTAATAGCATTGGTATGCAATACATATTAACTTCAATATGGAACTGAGCTGAAATTTTGATTGCTGCAGACAGTTCAAGATTTCGACAGATAGGTTGGAAAAACAAATTAGGAAGGGCAGTCAGTTTAACTATTCCCATGGAAACAACCATTTTCTATTTTACATATAGCACGTTAACCTTTTCACCACCACTTTCTCACTCAAATTTTGTTGTACTTTTTTATGTTCTTTAATATTTCCGGAAATGAACCCTAATTATGGAGCCAACCAACAAAATTTGAGTCAATTTTCAGTTTTAATGCAAAAAATTCGGCTATTTTAGTTCTAAACTTTTGAAGGAAAGTGCAGACTTTAAACAGGACTATTTGTGAATTTGTGATGGATGATGAAAAGAGGGAACTGGTGACAAATTCTATACATACATTTTTTGTACTTTGTTGGTTACCATATATAGCAAATGTTATATGCCTAAATCACCATGGTAACATGCTCTCTGTGTTCCACAACTTTACTTTGATTTCTCACAATGCATTTTCTCGACAATGCTTTGTACACTCAATGTCAAGTAATATTGAAAATCATTTAAGAGTTCAAATGCATGTCAAGACACTCCATGTGAAATATACGCTAGATTTTTGTTGACTGAAATTAGACGCCTAAAGCAGTGTGAAATCAATTTTGCAGGAGATAATAATTGAACTGAAGGAATATAGTTTGTGTGCAAAGTAGCTACATGCTTCTTTAACACTAATGGGTATGCTGAAACTGGTTGATGTCTTTTACGACAATGAAAGCAAATACTTTACTAGCTGTGAAATATTGCAGGAAACTGCTTTGAAAGAATGAAAAACAAATGAGATGTGTCAGATTTGTCAAGAGCTCTCAGGTTTCCACATAACAGTCTACTTATAAGGAATCTATCCATCACATGTAGTAACAACATATGCACTTTTAAACTGTGGCTGATGATAACGATAGCATTGCAATCACCTGTAATCTTGAATGTACAGTATTAAAGGAGGAATTTTTTTTACATGTGAATATATTTTAGCATATATAACAGTAACAATATTTAGAGCAAGAATTATTAATTGTTTTAGTATTAGTTCACAGCGTATGGACTTTTTGGTTCACTGTGAATCTGTTTTTTTGAGAAAACCAGTAAAATGATATGCAAAAAATGACATTTTAGTAAACTTGGTTTCCATAGGACACAATGAAAACACATTTCCTCGTTAAAAACCCACTAATAATATTGTCAATATTTAATACAATTTATATAATGTTTTCATCCTAGCAAAATTACGAGACATTGAGATATATCCTTGCCATAGGAATTAATGGAAAAATTTCCTAAAACATACAAAACTATTTTAGTGTATCTTATTGACCCATTTTCTTCGAACAGAGTATAGTAACCTGATAATTTTAATTCAATTTTTTCATCCTTGTAACATAAAATAAATGACAATATTTTTATGGTTGTGTAGTGAACTAACTTAGAGACACCTAAGTTGATATGCAAGGTTAAAATAAACACAGTAAGAGAATAAGACATTTACTGACACATTTAAAAACAAACATAGTTAAACCACACATGGCTTGCCCTGTATATGTAAGGGTGGGCAGATCACAGCATAAGATGGGAAGGACTACAATAATAAAAGTCTCAATATTTTTAAAGAATGTATCTTTAAAGAATCAAATCTAGTCAGTGCCATTTAAAACAGTATGTCACATGTTAGCCTTGACAAAGAAGAAACACATATCCTTCAAAAAATAGGCCAATAGCCTGTTGCTCAACGGCTATTGTACAAAAGATTAGTGCTGTATATGACAAATACCCCAAAAGGCAGTGAGTGAGACAATAAAGCATGATGCTAAAAGTGGATTTTTTTACAAAAATAACAGAAATATTCAATAAAATTAGAATCAAAGAGAGCTTAAAAAGAACTCCAGCGTGTTGAGAGAATAACATAACATGATATTTGCAATTATCTGAATTTGTAATACATGTATATACCACGTTTTGTTGAAATATGTTGAATGGTTCTTGAAATAGCACCCAAATAGCTTGAATTTCACAAGCTGATATGAAAATTAGATAGTATGCATAAATTTCCACCAAAAACTAAATATATCCGGAAACTGCCCCA